AAAGAAAGAAAGAAAGAAAGAAAGAAAGAAAGAAAGAAAGAAAGAAAGAAAGAAAGAAAGAAAGAGGAAAGGAGAACTAAAACAGTTATCTGGGTAGGAACTAGTGGGGACTGAGGAATGAGCACTGTGGTGCACTCACTGACCCTGTCCCTTTAAGGAACATCCATAAAGGTTCCCATCAGCCCAGTGTCTGGGAAAGCAGCACACTAACTGCCTGGAACAGAAGAAACAAAGAGGCCAAACAACAAAACAAACAAACAACCCCCCTTTTCTCCCTGAGACAACAATAGACTAGACACAGCAAGTGCAGTTATGGCCTGGCCGGCTGCTCCGGTCCACCTGCCAAGTCTCCCCATTTGGCTAGAGACCTTCTCTCTCACCCCCTCCCACCCCATTACCCCCCTCCCAAAGCCCTTTCTGTCTTTCTCTGTGTGATGCTCTGTGTCTCTGGGGGTCTGGCTGTCTGTGTGTCTCCTGGGTTTTTTTTTTTTTTCACTATATTTCACTCTGTCTCAGACACCTCTCTCTCTCTCTCTCTCTCTCTCTCTCTCACACACACACACACACACATATTAACACCCCCTAGCATTTATTTATTTATCTGTCTAGTTCCTAGACCATCCCCTGATTCTCCAGGCATCCCTTTTGTATTTTCTTTGCAGCAGTCTTTGCCAGGAGGACCCTGAAGTCCATTTGCACTTCAATTTCATCCTTTCCTCCTGTTCAGCTCTTTGCTCCTTTTCTGTGAGGCTCTGGCATGCTCCCTCCCCATCCCCAAGCAGCCCCTTTCTTCACTGCTTGGCACCGATTGGGACTCTCATGCATGCCTGCCTTCTTTCTCTCGCTCCCTCTCTCTTCCTCGTCCTCTGCAGCAGGCCCCTCCCCTTTGCCCCCAAATCCAGCCTTTTATTTTTCTTCCTCCCTCCCCTTCAAACTTTCATAAAATACTGTAAACAACTTTGCCTGGGGATTGCTTTTCTTTGTAGAGTGAATAGAAAGCTTTGGAAAGTGAGAAATAGAGAAAGGAAAGAGGGGACACATGGAAAGTGCAGTCAGCAGAGGCTGGGGCATGGAACTAGCTCCCAGCCAACAGCCTTGGTCCCTTTTATGCTTTCTTTCAAATAACCCCTTTTGTGCCAGCATCCCTCCTGAGGCATCTGTGTCTGTTCTGGCCTGGCCCAGGCCTGAATCCCTTCTTCAAGGGCCAGTAGGTATGAGTCCAGGCACCCACAACCATGGGAAGAATTGCTGTTGCTTTAGTCACAGGACTGCCATCCCAAGCCCACATGGGAGGTAGGGGTTCCCTGGCAATGGCAGCAGGGTCTTCGGTTCCCTTTAGAGAGTAGTTTAGAATAGCGACTGTAAAAGGAATGCTTCTCCATGTTCTTTGGAACACGTTCCAGGGAGCACTGTTCTTATGGAGAGTGGGGGATTTGACTGTTGGAGGCTGTGGGAAAGCAGAGCCCAGAGCTCCCACAGTCAGGAGCCATGGCCAGGAATGTGTTCACCCTGCCCGCGTCACACACGCCTCCCTGTGTGCTCAGGCCACAAGACCAGGACACATGCTTCCCCTGGCCTCACCCCCTTTTTCCTCTTCTTTTCAGGAATACATATATAAAACATATGCGGGGCAACCCTGAAGGGAGAAAGTCATTGAGCCTTAGCTGAGTGTTCAAGACAGACGCAAGTGTGCTCTTGCTGTTTGGTTCTTGGCGGTAGAGACAGGATGAAGAAACATGGATCTTATCAAGAACGTACATAGGGCTGGGGCTCCAGCTCAGCGACAAAGCACTGACACAGCTGTGTAAGGCCTTGGCAATAAAACAATTGTTTAAAAAACATATCTGTGTATGCAGTACATCTATGTAAATGGTGGTAGCCACTTGTCAGAAGAGGAGCGAGGGTTACAACTGGCAACTTTTGGGGAACTGGCTCCTGACCCTCCTTCAGGGTGATTTTCTAAAGAGGAGTAGTTCTTCATACATGAAGAAGCCAAACCCAAGTCTTGCATATGCTTAAGCCCCATGAATGAATATTCCTTTTCTCTGCCTCCATTTCTTCCTTTCTCTTTTCTCCCTTTGCTGGCTTCCTCCCCAAGCTGTATAAGCAAAGGGGAAGTCATGTTATCCTAAGGGAAACTTCATTGCTGTCTGACTCAGTGTCTGAGCCCTGTAAGCCATGAAGTGGTCTACTCCATCTCTGCCCAAAGCCACCCTCGGTCACTTGTTCTCAGTAGGGGTCATTAGGTAGGCTGTATTATCTCTTCTCCCCTCAAGGTTCTTTTTTCCTCCAAAGTTAAGAGGGAGACCCTTATCCAGCACCTACCGTACAGCGCATGCTTCTACACATCTCTAGAGGTCTGCTCTTGGGGGCATGCTAAACAGAGCCCTTTGGCCAGACAGCCTAGCCTCAGAAGAGAGCAACAGAAAGGGTGTGTTCTAATGAACCCTCATGCTGGCCCGGAACACTCCCCATTGGGAATACTGTTTTCTTGGTATTTTGACCTCGTGTCAAAATGACTGATTCTTCCCCCTCCTGGGAAGTTGCTTTCTAGCCAGCAGTGATTCTGGAGCTGTTCTGGGCCACACATCAGTGCATCTGGAAGCATTCACTGGCAGAGGCCTTCTGGCTGACTGTGACAGGGAGTCCTCCTCAAGCCTGGGAGTCACGGTGGAGCCTCTGATTTTGAAGCTGGGAGAAGGATCACATTGAAAAAGTTCCCACCTCCAACTTCCTTTTTCCATGGTCTTATTGTGTGCACTGCTGATCCTCCATGCCCACATTTGCTGACTTCCACTGTGGGTTTCCTATGTTATCACCACCTCAGCAGCCATGAAGAGGCACATGATGAAAGAGGTGCTGGCAAAGTGGATGGTCCCTCAGCTCCCTTCCCAAAGCATTCAATACCTTGCTCTTGCTTCTCTGTCTTTAGATTCTCTACTACTTAGGGTGTGGCTTGAGAACGTGTTTATGTTTCCCTCCATTGGTCGTTCTGACATGCCTGTGCCACCTTTCTGTAAACTGTAAGTACAGCTGTCCATTCTCCCTGGAAATATCCCCACATGCAGACTCCAGCTGCCATGCACCAAGTGTCCCTGAGCTGTGGACAGCCTGCACAACCATCATGGGCCTTTAGCCCCCCAGTTCTGATAGGTCTCATGCTGGTGGTCACTTAGTCCTTTAGATCTGTTTGTCTGAACTAGGAAAGAACACAGATGTGACCTCAGGATGCTAAGAGCTTCTGAAGCCTTCCAGAACCTTGTATTGTATTCTTGTCTAAGAAGCCTATATTGACCTGTGCTCTTCATCTACCACTTGTTTTCACTGCCATATGGTGGCAGAAGGGCATTTGTTACTTCAATGGGTTCAGTAGGTTAAGTTAGCAAGACCTTCCCCAATCAATTAGTAAGCCCTCTGTTCTTTGCATGACTTTGCTTCTACTAGTCTAGTATTTATGTAAAGGCAGACTCTCTTCTAGATAACCTGAGAGGCAGTGCTGGTTTAACACTGGCACTACTGCTTACAGAGTAAGCTTGCAAAACATGCAAGATATAAAGGTCACCCCCAGCTTCCAGGAGCAGTTCCTGCCCTAGAGAGTGGCTGTTAGGTTCTTTGCTGACTTTTCCTACAGGACAGAGGAGTCTGTAGGATACTTCCCTTCTCTGGAATCTTTTAACCCTGCCTGCAAAAGAATCACCCAGAAGCTTTAACAGAATGGATG